AAGGTATGATTTGAGAGCCCCCTCATCAGCCAGCCGGTCAAAGAGCCGCCTGAGGCTAAAGCAACCCTTAGTGTCATGGCCAATTTCCTCATGAAAAAGGCAATATTTACTCTTATCCCGGGCGCTTAAGGGACTTTTCATAGGAGCCGGTTTTTCAAGACTCAACCGGTCCTTTACTTCGTTGAGAATGGAGGCACAATCCTTGTTGAACTCGTACTTTGGCACATACGGATCCGACCTCTTTCTTTTCTGGAAGGGTTGTCCGGATGAGTCTGCTGCCCATACCCCCTTTCTCTTGTCTTCCTTTTTGGCCGACTGGGTAGGCCGATTCTCTTTTTTATCGGATCTTTTGTAATCCGTTGGAAGTTTCACAGCACACAATTCCATTGCCTGAATGTAGGCCTCCGCCTTCATGAGCGCCTCGTGAAGAGTAGAGACCCTCTTCCTAACCAAGTCAAACTTAAAAGTTGATCCGTCTTTTAAGCCTTTAAAGAAATCAGTATAGGCAACGTTATCAGACAATCCATGGATTTGGATCCTCATCAGGTTAAACCGCCTGACATATGACCGGAGCCCCTCTTTATCTCCCTGCTGGATTGCCCCTAGATCAAGGCTTGTTTTCTTGGCAGGGATGTCATAGAAAAGTTGGACGTAAACCAGTAGGCCAAGGTCCTGAAATTATTGATGCATCCGGCTGGGAGGTTACCAAACCAACGTTGAGCAATCCCTTTCAACGTTGCCGGGAAGCACCTACACCATGAGGCGTCATCCAAACCCTGCAAATACATCAGGTTGGTGTATGCCATGAGGTGATCCTCCGGGTTGGTGGTACCGTCATAGGCACCTACCAGCACGTTTTTGATCTTAGCCGGCTGGGTCATCTCGGTGATTTCCCTGGAAAACGTCGTTGGCTGTTCCCCAAGGTTGAGCAACCGGAGCTGCCAGTCCATAGGCTGGAGAGGCGGCTGCTGCTGCCCCCCGAAAAGACCCGGCTGGGCATAGGGAGATCCAAAAGGCGTGTACGGTGTTCCATGCAATGCCGGTTGGATCATATGAGGGCCGGATCGAGCGGAAACCTCGCTCGTCCGGCAGTCATTGTTTGTTCTCGAGTGCTTCCCTGATGTGGCATTGAAGCTGTCTCGAAAGGTTGACGTTGATGCTGACTCGGAGCGCTGCTGAGTCTTTTTATCCTGAATGAGCGTCCGAGCATCAGAATAGACTTTCTTGGTTCCATCCGGCTGAATGTGCCGGACGGGCTTTCTGACTCCATCTATGGGAGTGTGCATCTTTGAGAAATCAAAGGGCCTAGCCGGCATATTTGACTTCGGATGCGGGGTAGATGCTCTACCCTTTACTGTTTTGGCCGTCTTTTTCCCAAGACGCCTTTCTTCCGCCTGACCCTTACGGGGGCCGGCTGTATTATCTAGAAGGCCTTTGATCTCTCCTTTGAAGCTCATCATCATGTTCATGAGTTCATCTCTGGAGACTGGAATGGCTCCCTCTGAAGTAGGAGTCAACCCAAGCGGTCCCCTGGTAGGATGATTTGGGCCTGCCTGCTGCTCTGCTCGTTCCCTCTTGTCTTTGGAATGAGTATGCTTGGTTCTGAAGGAACCATCGGCTGCTGTGTAGGTTTCAATCTCATGATTGTGAGTTGTGTCTTGGTCCGAGTGGACCTCAGCCTCACCAGCAGGTTGACTACTTTTACCCGGCTGTACCGGTTCTGAAGTCATCTAGAAAGTACTCTCCCCACAGACGGCGCCAGATGTTTGGGGGTTTTTTATGTGTCCTACGGGAGAGTTACAATTTCCTAGAATGCTCCTTCCTTCGCCTGTACCTGCACAAATAACAGAATACTCCGGCTGGGGCTGGGGTGTTCCGCCTCCGAAGATTAAGTTAGTCTCTTTCTAAATGTGGAAATAAGACAATAAGTGCTTCTCGATTTGAGAGTGTTTGCAAGGGGATTTGTGTTTTGTTGGTTTGTGGGAAAATGATTCGATCCCCATTAATGAGGTCTGCCCTTACTATTTATAGTAGGGAGAACTGTACCTCAATTAGGGTACAATGACACGTGTCGCATAGGGATTGGGCCTTTGCTGACTGTTGCAAGCTTGACACGTGGCAGGCCTTTATTGGGCCACGTGTCTTAGGGTATTTTTACCCTAAACATTTATGTTCTTTTTTTGGCAGGAATATTAATGTTCTTATAGATACTTATCGATTAATATTTCAAAAAAAAAAAATATAAAAGAAAGCTTAATAGAAATAAGATTGTAATAAGAATAAGGTGAAATAAACAAAGTCGATTTAACTTCTAAATACATCAAATTTGGACAGCTTTAATTGGCAAGGAAAATGAGACGATACTTATTCCTAGTTAGTATTCATATATGAACAAAAATGAAAGATGAATGATAAAACATTATATGTAATTGCTTGGCCGCAGCAATAATTGGCAAGGAAAATGAGACGATACTTTTACTTAACATTAAAAAAAATATATATATGGAGCAAATATGTGCCACACCTCTGATGATGATCCCTTTTGCGTTCGTTTGTGTGATGAAACCCAATACAAGATTACAGGAATTATAAATATAGAAACATGCAAGTCTCATTAAATATATTAAGTCAAGTTACATCTACTAATTTTTTAATAAATACTTCCTGAATTCGTGTTATGTTATGCATAAGACGTACTATAAGAGCTCATTTGTTATGGAAAGTAAAGTTATGATAAATGTGATTTTTATTATTTAGTGAAAGTGAATAATTATTGCAACAATTCAATTTAATTGACTTAACTTGTAGTTTATCAGACAAAACTCTATGCATCATTGCATCTTGTGTAGATTAGAAAAGGAAAATTTTCCATTAGAAAATAAATAGATTCTTAACTTGATGGTAGATAATCAAAGCATTTACAACTACAAGATAAAGAAGCTTTTTTTTTCTTTCTTTTTTCTTTTTTTTTTCAATTATAAAGCAAACTACACCAAATTAGGATTGTCTTCAATCCTGATGGAAGATTTTTGCTTTGTTACACTTGTAATACTCATCATTTGAGATATAAGTAACCTCATTAAGGTATGCTTCCTTCATCTTATTTCATGTATATTATGATTTTGATTTCTTATGGTTCGGTCAGTTTTGAATTATTGTTCTTTAACTTGATCATTTATTTTTTGTTTTGTGTGAACTACTTTTATCTTTACAAACAAGCCTTTATTCTGGTTTGATTTAATATATATGGTCATAACATAATAATACACCTCCCTCTGTTTTTATTTATGCCCCATTTTGACTGAACACTTATGTCAATGCAAAATTTTTACCAATACCATCTTTAATTATCAATAAGTATAAATATAATTATAAAAGTTGATATTCAAAAACCATATATTGAGACGAATCTAATAAGTTCCCATATACATGATTATAATTTATCTTATAAATAAACAATTCACATGAGTCAAAGTGAATAATGTAAATAGTGCAAAAAGTCAACATGGGCCACTTAAGTAAAAAAAAACAAAGGGAGTAAGTAATAGGAATAAGGCGAATAGATTGAATAAGCCATGCTATCCTAGATAATCTCTCTATTTGCCCTACAAGCATTGCACTTACTATAAGCATTATTTGTGATTGATACAATAACGTTTTTTTTTAAAGTTTATTCCCTATTAAAATTGACATTATTTATACACACCCCTTTGATCATTTCTTGTAAATGCACTAGAAGAATTTTTAACTTGTAAAATCTTATTAGACTTATCTTAATTTGTACTTATAAAAATAATCAACTTAATTAATTAATTGACGTTGATATAAATCCTCCTAGATATTAATGATCTAAATCGTGTGACGGTAAGCTTCAAAAACCGAGTAATCTAAAACCAAAGGTAGATTAGCAATCATAAAATTAAGGTCAACATAAACACCAGCTTATTGGCTTTATTCCCTTTTCCCCCTCGTAGCGGGTCCTTCCCTTTCTTAAACCCAGTCGCACAGCCCTGGGTCTTACCGTCTAGCCGTTGGTACTCCGCATTCTCAATCCTTTTCCTTCTTCTTGTTGTTGGATATCTCGTTCGTGCACATCTTCTCTTTGTTTTCCGAGCCTCTAGTGGTGTCATATATGCTTAGGCTTTACTTTTTCCCCCTTTTCTTCCCGGTTCAATATTTTTTTTGAAGGGTCAACCATAAGTTTGATTACATCGCCTTCAGTTCGAGCTGGGCGATGAAAAGTTTTATAAACAATAGCACGAACCCGGGCAGATGGTCAGAACTTCATCTGGGTTCAAATCCTACTGAGAGGTCCACTAGAGATCCGCAATTGTTGAAGAAAGAGCTTCCTATGGTATACTATTCAATTCGCGACGACGAATTGATATGATAGCTCATATATTGTTATTCCTGATATTAATCTCCATGCGGGCTCCCCGTAATAATTATGCCCCATGCCTTTCGCTACCCGGATGAGGTTGAGGTTTCGGGAGCGGTTACCGTCTGAGAATGAGACGGGAAACTTGACCTATATGCCCGGAGGAGGAGTGCGTGAAGAGAGCGCAGTACAACGGAGAGTTGAATCTTTTAATGAATCCTTCGAATCTTTCTTACTTTATCTAACGGGTTGGAATTTCAAAAAAAAAAACTTGTACTTAATGTTGTATTACACAATACAACTTGTCTATTTATCACTCGACCCAGGGCACGTCTTCACTCTCGAAGAAAGATCCTATCCCACGGAACCTTTTGGCAAACTGACGATCAAAGATACCCGCTGTGACACCTTCCGACCTTGACCTAGGGACGAAGTGGCTTAGTTGCAACTTAGCTCGGCCTCATTATCTCCAACCTCTTGCTTAGATTAAAATTCGAACCCTTGACCATTTGTATCCGGGTTCACTACCACCAAACTAACACCACATCTTACCAACTTAGGATTCTTGCAAAGGAGAAACATGCCAAAGTACATAGTAAAATAAATTATCTCTAGTCTATAAGTATACTGTTATGCTCTTGTCTACTTTGTATTACTCTAGCTAGACAGCATGGATATGGTTAGATTCACAACAAATATGAATCATTAAAATATTTATTTTTATTTTTATTATTATGTGGAAAGTTCTCTTCTCTTTAGCTAATCAATACGCTGAAAAAAAAGTCTTTTTACAAACTCATCATTGAATTTTTTGTATGAAGTAGAAGACCTTCTTTGCCTCCCTCTGACTTATTTTCTTCCTCACTCTTTCTCTCTCTTCTTTTTCTCTCTACTTTCTCTCTCTTCATTTTGTTTTAAATTACTATATATACAAATATATCCACTTTGTCCAAAGGCTCCAAAGTCTTCCATATTTTTCAAAAGCCACTAAGACCTTCCATTCACAATTTTTCTCTCCTCCCAAAAAAAAACAAAAAAAAAAAAAAACAAATTAAACAAGATTTTTTTTTTTTAATTTATTATAATTAGATTAGAAAAGATAGAAAAAAAAAAATGGGAAGAGCACCATGTTGTGACAAGGCAAATGTGAAGAAAGGGCCTTGGTCTCCTGAAGAAGATGCTAAACTCAAAGATTATATTGAAAAATTTGGCACTGGTGGTAATTGGATTGCTCTACCTCAAAAAGCTGGTAATTATTATCCAATTATTTTGATTATTATATATTAATATAATGATTGAGTTATAATTAAATTTTGTGGGTTTGATTAGGTTTAAAGAGGTGTGGGAAAAGCTGCAGATTAAGATGGCTTAATTACTTAAGACCCAATATTAAACATGGTGAATTTTCTGATGAAGAAGATAGGATTATTTGCAGCTTGTATGATAGTATAGGAAGCAGGTTTGTACTCCACTTTTTATTTATTCACTCTTAATTATTTTTATAAGATTTTTGATGATTATTGATAGAAGTTAATAAGTTCGAGTACTTGAATTTTCGATATTCCTTTTAATTATCATAATCTAATAATAAGATCTAAGTAACATCTTATACTTGAGCTTCGGCTACTTGAATTTTCGATATTTTTTAATTTATTAAACCACCTTTTGTAAATGGAGAGTGTATTAAAAAACGAAATCAACTAAAAAGGGAAACAAAGAGCAGATTATGGAAATCATAAAGATAAAAATCTTAGATTAGTGGATTTCATGCATGTCAAATATAACCAACTAAACTTGTACATATTTTTTTCATAGGTTTTGCTTTAGTTTCACAAAAGCAATTTTTCTGTCCTATCTTTTTTCTTGTTTATTATCATTAATAAAATTACAACCATAATAATAATGGAAGAAATAAATTAGTCAAAAAAATATATTAATGAGCATCAAATATTAAATTAATGGTTTGGTCATAATTTTCTTGGTTTAATTATTGGTGTAGGTGGTCAATAATAGCAGGTCAATTACCAGGAAGGACAGACAATGATATCAAGAATTACTGGAATACCAAGCTTAAGAAGAAACTTATGGGAAACATTATCACTAATACCCCTAATTTAAACATTATTAATCAGAAAAAATTTACTAATAATAATTTTAATCCTATGTTTCAAAATCATCACTACCCTTCTTCACTTTCATCACCATCCTCCTTGTTATCACACGGGGTTTTGCCGCCTTCGTCGTCTTCATACCCCATCACCATGTCTTTCTCTGAAGGGTGTTCAAATGTTAACAACAATACCCTAATTCTCATGCAAAATTATCACCAGCATCATCATCAAGTAGTAAAAGACAATAGTACCCTTCTCGTATTTGGTAATGATGAAACTATTGATCGTCAACAACAGCAACCAGCTAGTTGTAGTTCTGATGGGAGTGGGACTATTACTCAGATAACTAATCAAGTGAAGCTCGAAGATAATCGACAAAACTACGGGGGGTTTTACTCTAATCAGGTTGTTAATCATAATCAAGAGGACGATCAAGCGAAGGTGTTATTGATGGAAGAGCAGAAGCCATCGTCGGCCACCACCGGTGTTAATACTGGTGTGTTATGGGGGCAAAATGGTCAAAATACTACTCCTGCTGGTGGAACTACTACTTCATTGTTAGATAATTATGGTTTAGAGGAGATCAAGCAGCTAATTAGTTCTAATTACAGCTTTGATGAAACCAAAGCAGAAGAAAAAGACATGACCAAGGTGATGTACTATTATTATTGATATCATAAATCAATATTAAATCAAAAATTATTATTTTTAGATCGGGTTTTATTCATGTAATGACGTGTTTTCTCTTTCTCATCTCCTTTGATCTGTAAAAATTAGTTAATATTGTTTTTTTTTTTTTTTTTTTTTATTAGTGAGCATTCTAAATAGACTATTTTTTTTTTAACCATAATAAATACTACCTCCAATTTCTCACAAACAATAGTTACAAATAAAAAAAAATTGGAGATAATAGTTAAATATATTCAACAATTAGATATGATAAGGTGTCTTCTGCAAATAGGTTCAGTTTTTTTTTTTTAATTTTTTATTTTTAATTTTTTTTTACCGTCAGTTTGAAGATTTAATTTCTGTAAGTGGAGTAAGAAATCAGAGAAAAGATATAACAGAGATGAGTGGATAAAAATAAATTATAGTACAACTCTGAAATTGATGGGAATATACTAGTATAAATTTTGACAGTACATGGTAAAAGTAAAAGGAAAATTGGGATTGCTTCTGATTGCATTTCTTTTTGGGAAATGATGCATGAAAATTTTGTTGTACAGTAACAGCAGTCTAAGTTTCAGTTCTTTCTCTCTATTTTTTTTTAAAATTTCTCTGCAAAACTTAAACAAATTTCCATCATTATCTTCTTAGATTTCAACAATGTGTAAAGTTTCAACAATTTATATACTTGTATCATTATACTCCCTTTGTCCTAAATATAATTTATGTTTGTGTTTTTTCATAATATTTAAGAAATAGGAGAAAAAAATGGATGAAATATATCAATAAAAGTGAAAAGTTCAATTATAGACAAAAGTTAGAGAGAAAAAGTAAAAAAAGTATAACACATGTGCAAAATTCAAGGATAATGCAGGAAGTACAATGAATAAAATTAAAAAAGTGAGGGTATAATGATTTTTATATATTATCCAAAAATAGAAACAGGAACAACATTTTGACTCTCCGAAATAAGAAAACATGAATTATATTATAGGACGGAGGGAACTGTGAAAAATAATTTTAAAAATATTGTACGATTATATCCCACCAAATGACCAAAATTTAGCATTTATTTAATCATTCAATTGGAGTAATGTCATAGGGATATTTTATAAAAAGTAAAATACATGTACTTGTAAATTATGCTAGTATTGGACACATATCCACATTACTACCTCCGTTTTATTCCTTTATAATTTATCTTTTGTATATAAGGCACATCTTTGACAAAAAAATATCTTCATTATTGTGTTTAATTCAAATTATGAAAAGTTAATATTTTAAATTATAACATCAATATGAATATAAAAAAGAAAAAAATTGTCTGGAATAATCCGACTTTTGCCTCATCCGCCCAAAATAATCCTGCTTTTCGACTATTTTTTAATAATCCGATCTTTATACCCAATCCGCTCATAATGGTCCCAAGTGACTGGTTAATAGATAAATTTTTTTTTTTAGTCTAAAGTACACGTGTCACCATATAATTTGTCTAAAACTTAAATTAAATTAAAAAAGTTGAATTACAAAAAAAAAGTGGGAGCCACCCAGCCCATGAGATCAGAGCAGCAACCATGAGATTGGAGCTTGCGGCGCAAGAAGCATCACCGTCAGGGGAGCTATTATGGGTGGTTTGGGGGCCGAAATCGAGGCGAAGGAAGGGGATGGGGTCGGGATCGGGACGGAAATGGGGTTTTTGAGGGTTGGGGGATGTTTTTATGGCGCCATTAGAGGAAGAATGATGATGATTACTACTGCTAAGATGACGATGATTTGAAGAAGAAGAAGAAGAAGAAGAAGAAGAAGAAGAAGGGGGTATCAGAACCCACTCTTTATTCCATTTTCTAACGGGGCCGTTGAAGATGGTGGTTGTGCCGTAATGGCTAGAAGATCGGTCAAAACGAGCTCCGACGCCCTCCATTAATGGCGATTTTGTGGATCGACGACGGATTAACGATGGGTTTCGTGTGGGAAGGAGGCAGAATGGTGGTTCAGGGGAGGGGGATCAGTCGCAGCGCCAGCGCCGGCGAAAGAGCTGGGGTTGGGGGTCTGGGTGGCTTTAGCCACGGGGCAGGGGAGTCAGGTGGCTGGGAAGGGTGGTGGCTTGGGCTGGTGGGTGGTTTTGTAATTAATTTTTTTTAATTTTGTATTTGAATAAAGTTTACTTTTTTTAATTTTTTTTTGACAAATTACAAGTCGACACGTGTCAAGTAACTTGTTATAACAAGTTATATGACCGGTTGGGACCATTATGAGCGAATTGGGTATAAAGGTCAGATTATTAAAAAATAATCGAAAGGTGGGATTATTTTGGGCGGATGAGGTAAAGGTCATATTATTCCCGACAATTTTTCAATAAAGAAACCCCACATACCTTATATTTTTTTTCTTACATACAAGCAATTAGGTAGTCCAAGTTTTTTGTATGATTCCCATAGATATTATAAAGAACAAGAGTAGTATTATGGTGTGTTTGGATAAAGAAATGGGAAAGAAAAGAAGGGGAGGGAGGTGAGGGGGAGGGGGAGGGAAGAGAAAGGAAGGGGAGGGAAAAAAGATGAGTTTTCCTTCCAAATCTCTCTATTGTCAGAGAGATTAATTTCTTACAATTTAATCTGTCCATTTCTCCCCCCTCCAATTCCCATCCTTCATTGTTTTGTTATCCAAATGAAAAATAATCCATCCCTTCATTTCCCTTCCATTCTTTTCCCTCCATTTCCTTCAATCCAAACAAAGTGTTAAAGAGCAAAAGATATATTTATACGAAGTATGTCTTTCCACGTACGACCACCACAATTATTATCAGTCTCGTAATTTTGCTAGTAGATTTAATAATGTAGATAAAATTGATAAATTAAACCACAAACAATTGTTTGTTTTTGTAAGTTACTCCACTCCCTCCATCCCACTAAAACTATCAATCCCATTTTATTTTATTTTTCTACATATAAGACAATTAAAATGGAACGGAGGAAGTTGACGATTAAATTTAATGACAACATTAAAAAAAAATGTGCCAGATATCAAAAACTTGAATGAAATGTACTCATTTCTAGCCTTCTAGCATTTAAAGGTACAAACAATTACGTAAAGTTCAAATGATTCACAAATAACAAGTAGTTCATATGGTTTTTTCTTCATTATAGAAAAAGGCTTCTTCTAATTAAAATGGCTTTTTGATTCTATAATTTTTTTTCATCTAATTCCCTCTTTTATCATTTGATTTGATTTCTCCAGGTCGAGTCATAAAATTATTGTTCACCTAACCTTGCTAAGTAGTTAAAGCGGTGACTACTTCCTCATGGAGGAATGGAAGTATTAATAGAGTGTTGTCTCACAACTATTAAATTAACAAAAAAAGTATAAGGAAGAGAGAGAAAGAAGGAGAGAGAAAGAAGGAGAGAGATAGGAAGAGTGAAAAAGGTGATGTGGGCCCATTAAAATTTTTCAGACATATATCACATGCAATATTGAACAAAAATTTATGGGAAGCACTACCACTAAGTCTATATTTTGTTCCAATAAAATTCCAGTGAAACTTTTTGAAGTACCACTGAGATTATATTTTGTACCACTGAGAGTGTGTTTGTACCATTGAAACTCTAGCGATATTATTTGACAATTCAATGAGACATCTTTAAACTGACGCCTGAAATACCTACATTGCCCTTGTGAGACATGACTTTATTGTCTCACAACCCTTCGTTTGGAAGCCCTCCTTCCTCATGTGTTCAATACCAAGCCAGTTTTTATAAACGGAATCCATTATACTTTTACCGTTTAACAACCACAAATTTGTCTTTTTTTTATTCATTTTTTTATTTTTATTTTTTTACATTGTTTAACCATATATTTTTGTCAAACAAAGAAAAAAAATTGGACAAAAAAAGGAAAGTGATACTACTTGTGTGTTTATTTGCTAAATTTAGAATAACAATATCTTTTATTATGTGTTTTCATGAGCATCGCATATTTAAAAAATATTCTCATTATTGTTAAAAAAACGGTTATGATACATAAAATCGTTAAGGCTGTATATAAGAATTATACACATTTTTATAATTAAGAGTCAATTGGTTTTGTTATTACTCAATTTTTTCAAAAAAAAAAAAAAAAACATTATAATCTTTTATTTACCGTCTAAAAGGCTGCATTTTTTATTTTCCTTTTTAAAATCGTGTTAAATTGAAGATATTGAGTAGCTCTAAGAGACTCTAACTAGCAACTAGCAATTAGCAATTGGATATTGATTTTAGGAGTATTAAGGCAAAAATAAAAAAAACAAATTAATTAAATTTTTATTGATTTTAAATTTTAATCACAATCATTGCATAGCTCCTTGAAAAGCCATATTTCCAAAGTTCCAAAGAGGGACAAAAATCCAGTAGGAAAGATAATGTATATAATATGTATACCAACAGAAATATAATCATAGAGTAGCTTTCAATCCTTCCTAAATAAATAGTAAATTCCATGTCATCTTTATATTCCTTTTATCAAAATTTGATTTGCACTCGTGTATAATATTGGTAGTTCTTAGTTTCCAACCATATTATAATTTCCTTGTTTTTTATATTAGCTAATTCCTCATGACCTGCATTTTTGTTAATTAAGTATAAGTCAAGAGTCTATAAGAATCTTGGCTCTTTTTTGTATTTTACCGCCCTAATTAAGATTTCATTTATCCCAATTAATTAAATTAAGTTTAGTGCTAATCTATACGTATTTTAGCCATCTGTTTCATGCAAATTGTACTTATTTTAGCTCATCAGCATGTCAAACAACGGACATAGGACAATGGAATGACGTCTCTCATAATAATACATGTTAATTAATATGATAATGATATGTAAATTTTAAAATAATTAAATATGGCAAAACTTGTTTAAGTTTGTTTAGTTTGTTTATGAAAGATGTTTAAATGTTTGATAATGAAATTTCACAAATACCGGTGTAATGTTTGATTTGTGATTTGTGCAAAACAACAGTCAATGAATAAATAAATGTTGATATGAGAAATTAATAAAGATAAATATAACAGTATAACACACAAGGATTACA